CAATGCTACAAAGGCTATAGAAAGTACAGGATAGACAAAATGAAATGTCGCGTGATCTGTTCAGCACAGGAAAGCTATTTGTAAAAATATTTAAGTGTACCAGTACTAGAAGCACCTTCATTTCATTTTCACTATCCAACCATTACTTTAACACAAATGATGCTAGTTGCACTATCACCACCCCCTTCACAAAACAGATTAGGTGGCATCCTTACCATTGTTATTGGACAGATCTTCTTCATGGGGCTGGAAACTGTTTAGAAGAGAAATCAGCCAGGGCCAAATGCTATAAATCAAAAAGACAGTTTTCACTTTGAATGGTAATGTCTGAAAGAATCCAAATACTATTTAACTCTACCAGTTAAATATTGAAACCAAGCAGAACTGCAGTCCAATTTAGCCCAAATCATCCCCCAAAACAGACAGTTTTATGAAGTTCTGGTACCATCCTGCCTTACTGCAGATGGCCAGGAGCCTTTATTCCCTTTACCAAAGGAACACTCTCAGCAATTAAATGCTGTTCTTTCAATACTATGAAAGGAAAAGTAGCAGTTCCTATGAAGCTCAAAAATTTTCAAAAGCCAGTCAACAATTCTCAAAGTCCAGGTTTTGCTGTCAAATTAATATGGAAAATCCACTTCCCAACTGAAGAGAAACAAACAGTGGGTTTTACTTAAATTTAAGTTACACTAGGCAAAAGAGTTCAAAACACCTAATTCAAAGCTAACTGCTCCCAAGAGAGCATAATCTGACTCAGGTGAGAGACAAATTGCTTCATGAAGAAATGGAATATTACTTCTGTTAACATTAAAGAATACTGTCAAATCTAGAAAAACATCTTAGGAAGCTAGAAAGTTCTACATTCAGGTTGCATTTAAATGAAACATCTAACTACTTTTATTATATGCTCATGCTCTGCTGACGTTGGTGGTTCTAATAGAGCGACTGAAAATAACGTACACCGAAGAACAGTCTATTTCCAATTTAAAGATTATACTATACAGAATAAGGCAGGCCATGACACTATTGAAAAGTAATGCATTTCCCTGTTCTGGTACCCAAGATGTTTCCTTTAAGAAGCTGAATGCCTCCTAGAACTCAAGCACATACAGTTGAGACAATGAAGGAAAAAAATGAGCCACTGATCCCATTCATCTTTCATTTCCATTATTCTGTCATTCCAAAGGGCTGCTTCTGAACTCAAAGGGCACCTCTTCCACTCCTCTTACATGCAGGAGACGGTACACCTCTTGTTTCAACAGTATTTTGAGAGGGGTCCCTGAAGAGAGATGGAGAAAGTCTGGGAGACACAATGGGACATGAATTGTATGCAATAACCACTGCCAACAAATTTAGGCCCACTGTTCCAGTGATCCCAGTCCAGGCTTCTCAGGAAAAAAAAAAAAAAAGAGTTGTCAAAAGGGACTTCAGAAATTCCAAAGATTCTGCCAGGCTCCTGATTAATGTGGAGCCTCTGGTCAACAGAGAAACCATCAAGAACACCACAGCTAAGGAAAAGATGGGTTGTCTGCGTCTTCCTCAGTGCTTCAGATGCCTCTTGTGGACTGCAATAGACATGGGGCTGATGTGACCTGAACGTTTGAGGTCTGGCCATCTTTGTCCTTGAGCACTTTTTACACTCCAAAGTGGGCCTACAGACCTTTAACACACAAAGGTTGCAGCTCTCAGTGGAAAGAACCCCTTTTTGCAGTATGGATCTTTCTGGATATTTTCAAAGAACATCACAAAGAAGATTCCCATAGCCTAGTGTGATCTAAGTACATGTAAATATAACACACAAAAACAAAGCAAAGCAGTCTGCAAGGAAATTCTACCCATCAGCTTTCCTCTCTAGTACGATGAATTTTATTTCTTCCATGTTGTCCAGTGGAAAACTTTCCGTAAACTAAGAATTTATTCCAATGTAAATAGCCCCAGTTTGCCAAAAAAAAGCCTAGTAGTGGGGGCACACAGCAAAAGTGTTGGGTTTTTTTGCCAAATGCTTTCAATCTTAAAAGACCTTTTCCTTCACTGTTTTCAGTCCTCCACAAGACCTTAACAACTCCTTAATGAATGCCAAAGTCTACCAGACATGAACTGGTGCAGGAAGTCTAGCAGTTTGTGTAATTTCTCTTGCATTACCTGCAAGTGACATCAAGGGTCTCAGCCATCGGTTTTTGGCACACGCTAAGTTATGCCAGACAAGACCTAAAAAGGACAGACTGCCTCACTATGGAGGATAACAAAATTGCTATTGTAATCAATTAATCCTTCCCCTCTGCTAACTTGCCTAATTTTGTAGACCACAGATCTAAAGCTAGAAGAGAGGATGGAATGCCAAATAGGACCCATGACTGAAAGCATACAGGCTCTGGGCTAGTGAAAGGATGTCAGGGTCTTGTTTCTTGAGAGGCTGATGCCTTCAGAGCAGGAATCCTTTCCTGGCTCCCAGTGTGGCTAAATAGAGGAAGTAGCTTGTAACCAACATCTAAAACTGCTAGATGCAGTATCATGACTTCAGGTGACCAGAGGCCAAGCTGGCACTGCTGTTGTACAAGGCACAATGGGAATCTAACAACCAGGCCACAGAGAAGTCATTCAGCATCACATCATCAGCAAGTGCTGACAGTGCCAAGTACAGAGTGCTAAAGAGTCTGTGCTGGAAGAAAGGCAGTCAGCAAATTTAGCAGGCACTCTTTTCATAACTGGTAACAAGGTACCACAAGAAGTCCATCTTATGCTAGTGGTTACCTTTCTGCAATGGAGCTTGTGACATCTAATATATGTAGACTTCTGCTTTTCACTTCTGAGGGTGCTGGAGGAGAAAACCTTGTCTCTTTTCTAGAGGAACGAGCATCACTACCCTTTTCTGAGGTTGCCATGTGGATCAAACTTGAGAAGCAGTGTTTTAGATGTCTCAGCCCTTGAGCTCATGGAACCATGGCTTATTGAAATACTAGCTGAAAAAGACTAGATGGAGGACTGAATTTTAGTCACGCTCGCCTTCCTCCATATATCAGAGACAGATTTCATGTAGCACTCAGGAGGAAATATTTTTAGGCAGGCATCTCTAAGCCTCCCATGTCTGCCTAGAAAAAGCAGTAGATGGGGCAATGGTCAAAGACATGTCCTTTGCCTTAGAAAGGCATGGTGCCATTCTAATTAGTGCTAAGAAGGGACAGGTCCTTAAACCCCAGAGATCTAGTTTCTACTACAAACACTCAAGTCTGGTATTAGGCTCAGAATCTCTGCCTATTATCTGTGAGAAAAAAAAAAGCTATACTAATTAACTGTAGTGGCAGAAGCAGGCTCTGCCTCCTGTGTCACCTAGCCCAAGAATGAGACCAGCCTTCTTTTTGAAAACATACACTGCTCTGCTCCTGATGTGAAAATTAAAATGTACTTAGGCAATGTTATATTGATCCAATCACTGAACTTTGGATTTTGGACATCCCATGAAAAGTACATATGCAAGCATGTCACTAATAGTCATTCAAAAATTGAAAAGTCATTGGCAAAGCAAAATAAAAAAATATTTGTTGTAGTAAGGAAGTGGGTAGTATACAAACACTATAATTAAGTCTAAATTATAATTAAAGTATTAGAAGCACAAACATAGAATAAGCAACACTGTGGAATGATGTCCCTCATCTCCTAGGAAGTTTAATATAATACAAGACTATTTGGAAGCCAACTTCAAATTTTAGTACTGCCTGAACCACTGACTCACTGTACGACCTTGAAAAAAAAATCATTTTACTGTGATGTTCTACAATTTAAATCGAGGAAGCAAGCATAAAAAAATATGAGAACACGAAGCAATGGTCTCAAGTTGCAGCAAGGTAAGTTTAGTTTAGATATCAGAAAAAAATCTCTCATTAGGAGGGTAGCAAAGCATTGGAACCAGCCAGCCACAGGTTGAAGTCTTCATCCTTGGAGGTCTTTTAAGACCTGGCTAGACAAAGCCTCGACTGGGATGATGTAATTGGTGGTGGTCCTTGAACACATGTTTGGACTAAATGACCTCCTGAGGTCCCTTTCAGCCCTAATTTTCTATGATTCTATCAGCAAAAAAAATAGTAGCTGTTCTTAGGTCTTTCAGATTAGATGCTATTAATGGACACCTCTATCCTTAAAAATTTAACAATGAAGTCTAAAACCAAAGACTCATGGTAGCAAACCCTATTTGGAATCCAAGAACGACCCCAAAGAGCTCACAGTTTTTTTCTTTGGAAACATCATATAGTTTCAAATACTCAACATCTGCCATGCCAATAAACAGTTAAGAGATGAGTTTCCCTTCTACCCTTAATCCTTCACTGGTCACCACCACCTTACTTAACAGGATGACAAAACAAAAATCATATTAAAAAATTAACACTCACTACCGTCTCTCATCCACTACTGCCTCCTGGAAGACACTGGGCCTAAGTTTCAACCAGTCCATTGAAACTTTAACAGCTGGAAGAGGATATGCAGCTCCAGAGTCCTCCTGGTAGTCATTCTGTGATGGACACTTACATAGGACTCCAAGAAAAGACACTAAAGAGAAAAAACAAACAGAGAAATCTATAGAAAAAAGTAAATAAGCACTTATCCTAATTAAAGTTTCATCATAAACCACTACCTTGAAGATCTCTTTGCTTCCCAACTGATTTAAGTGTAAAGGATTTAACAACCACAGCAGTGTTAAATATATGACCTGCAGAGCCATTTCCTTGAGTCCACAGGCTCTGTAAAGGGATGGAAGTTTGGCAGCACAACCTGTTACAGAGTTTAGAGAGATGGGACCCCACCAGGGCAGATTCTGGCAGCATGGGTATGAGCGACAGCTGTACTGATACCACAGTGCTTGCCCTGTCACTGGGTCCAAGTCTGAATCCAGTCTGGTGCATGGGGTGAGTTTGACAGTACTGCACTAGCAGACCAATTCCAAGCCCCTCCCCTGTTTTTCCCCTAAACAGTCTCAGTTGGTAATCATAAGAACAGATACAGTAGACTCAGTGAGGTAAGCAGGCAATTCTCTCCTTTTATATGGGTAAGAAGAAAAAGATTGACTTTGCTTTCTTAAGAAATAAACTGACTCTTTCCATACTAACTTAATGCATACCATGTGGAAGCGAAGAGGAAGACAAAGTCGGCTGATGTTTCCGTACTTACTAAAGAGAGCCAGCAGCTGTGTCCAACAGAGCTGTTCATCCTCACTGTAACTGTGCTGTTCAGTTTCATTGCTAAAATCTCGCAGGTGATGCAGTTGAAACAAGTTGATGACAGTAATATGAACTAACTGCTGAGAGTTGAAGGCTTTTTGGAATAACAATCGCTGTAACAAAAAAGCCTGTATTAAGCGTGTGGACTGTAACCTAAAGAAAGGTCCAGAGGGTTAGTTTGACTGATGAACTTTAAGAATGTGGTTATTAACGCACTGTTTTAGTAATGGTTCAGTCATTAAGAAAATACTAATCCTAGAATACGAAAGACCTGAGAGAGGGCGAGGACAGATGTAATGTTTGAAGCATTTCAAAGCGCAGCTTCATTTTGAAGCACTTCAGAAAAAGTGGAGGATTTCAGTTGCTGCATGCAGCGGTGTGTTCCCTAACCCAGGGTGTGACAAGCGGCCATGGCAACTTACAGATCCACTCCCCCCTACCACAAGGGCAGTAGAGTGGACTGTCAGTCCAGCTCCCCATCTCCCAAAGGCTGCGGCTGTATTTCAACCGACACCCACTCCTCAACCCAGCCCCAACTCCAAAGGGGAGGAGGGTGAACAGAGTCAGTCAGTGAGGGGGCACACAGGGCCGCTGGTCT